AATATATATATGTAATTACTTATTATTATTATACAGGATTTATGGCGCCAACAGTTTGCTCAGCACTTTACAATATAACGGGAGACAATACAGCAACAATACAGTTCAATAAATGAGGGATAGGAGGGCCCTGATCCTGGGAGCTTACAATCTAAGAGGGAGGGGTATATATATATATATATATATATATATATATATATATATATATATATATTACATGTGGCTGTGGCACAGTGGTGCAGGCTTTACAGGGCTAAAACGATTATTGAGGAGGTGATGTACTGGTGCAGGGCGTCCTGGGTTCCTCCCGGTGCAGTGGGTCCTGGGTTCCTCCTGGTGCGGTGGGTCCTGGGTTCCTCCTGGTGCAGTGGGTCCTGGGTTCCTCCTGGTGCAGTGGGTCCTGGGTTCCTCCTGGTGCAGTGGGTCCTGGGTTCCTCCTGGTGCAGTGGGTCCTGGGTTCCTCCTGGTGCAGTGGGTCCTGGGTTCCTCCTGGTGCAGTGGGTCCTGGGTTCCTCCTGGTGCGGTGGGTCCTGGGTTCTTTCTGGTGCGGTGGGTCCTGGGTTCCTCTGGTGCAGGGGGTCCTGGGTTCCTCCTGGTGCAGTGGGTCCTGGGTTCCTCCTGGTGCAGTGGGTCCTGGGTTCCTCCTGGTGCAGGGGTCCTGGGTTCCTCCTGGTGCGGTGGGTCCTGGGTTCCTCCTGGTGCGGTGGGTCCTGGGTTCTTTCTGGTGCAGGGGGTCCTGGGTTCTCCTGGTGCAGGGGGTCCTGGGTTCCTCCTGGTGCAGTGGGTCCTGGGTTCTTTCTGGTGCGGTGGGTCCTGGGTTCCTCCTGGTGCAGTGGGCCCTGGGTTCTTTCTGGTATTTTTTTTTTTTTCATTTAAAGAAGGAGGCAACAGCAATTACCAACAGCTGTATCCCTCATATACAGTATAAACCATGATTGTGGCCATGGAGGGGATTGGAACACCTGAATCACATGATTTGGAGGGGATTGGAACACCTGAATCACATGATTTGGAGGTGATTGGAACACCTGAATCACATGATTTGGAGGGCTAGCTGAATAGTTTTGGCAATATAGTGTATATATTATTTCAGGTACTTATAATAAATAAATGTAAAAAAGAAAAAAAAAAATATATATATATATTTTTAATTTCAAGAAGGAGGCAACAGCAATAACAGCAGCTGTATCCCTCATATTCATACACCGATACATGAGGTTTGACAAGCACAGTGCGCACACAGCCCGGTTCCCTCCTATCCTTTTGCTCGGATCGGATCGTTTTTTCATCCTATGAACTTCTGAACGGACTTCTCAAAAAAAGAGAGACCGTGTTTCCTCCAACCAGCTTCTGCACCATCCTAATAAATAGAAATCCCTTCCTGCAATACATCCCAATAACACAAATATAGGAATCTACTAAAAGACATATATAGATACAATGTCAGGAGGTCAGCTCACCCGGGGAAATGATTGCCGCAGAGGGGATCCCCAGCTTCCCGAATGTTCAGAGAGACGAGAACCGGAGCGAGACGGCAGAGGAGAGGTGACAACCCGCCGCCACCTCCCAGCAAAGTGAGCTGCGAGCGGCGAGGGCGTGCCAGGTGTGTCCAGGGAGGAAGAGCAGGGATGGGGGTGGGAGATCCGACACCCTAGGGTGCTGACAGATGTGTCCGAGGGCACCCGAGGGTAGTGCTAGGGGGGGGGGGGGGGGGGAGTCCTCTGTAATGGAACTCAAGAAAAAGAAAAAAAAAGGTATCCCTCCCCCTCCCCCTTCCCTTCCTGTCATCACTAGAGGACGACTAAAGTGTACAAAGTGAGGCCAAGCGTTGCAAAGTGATAAGGAGTGATACAAAGTGTTATACAGTAATATAAATAAATTAAAATTCGTATACCCCCTATATTAATATACAGTAAAAAAAAAAAATAAATAAAAAAAAAAATAAATAAATATATATATATATACACACACACACAGGTCCATATATATTTGGACACAGGCACAATTTTTTTTTTTTCAGGTATTTATCCAAACATATTCAAGCTACAGTAAAATAAATCAAAATTCGTATTCCAGCTATATTAATATAAAGTAAAAAAATAAATAAATAAATAGATAACTAAACACACTCTCAGGGCACTTCTACCCCCTTCCTGCCCCCAGGCCAATTTCCAGCTTTCAGTGCTATCACACTTTGAATGACAATTGCGCGGTCATGCAACACTGTACCCATATGACATTTTTATCATGTTTTTGTGGCAGATAGAGCTTTATTTTGGGGGTATTTAATCAACTCTGGAAAACCACTGAAAATTTTGAAAAAAAAAGTTTTTGTTATTAAATTTTGTAAATAAGTGATTTTTCTCCTTCACTGATGTGCGCTAATGAGGCTGCAGTGATGGCACTGATAGGTGGCACTGATGAGGAGGCACTGGTAGGTGGCATTGATGGGCATTGACAGGCATCACTGATGGGCACTGAAAGGCAGCACTCATATATGGCACTGATAGGCGGCACTGATAGGTGGCACTGATAGGCGGCACTGACTGGTACTGTTAAATGGCAGTGACTGGCACTGTTTGGCAGCACTGATAGGCAGCACTGACAGGTACTGATAGGCAGCAGTGATGCACACTGATAGGTGGCACTGATAGGCGGCACTGACTGGCACTGGTAGGTGGCACTGATTGGCAGCACTGATAGGTGGCACTGACTTGCATTGAACCCAGGACCCACTGCACCAGGAGGAACCCAGGACCCACTGCACCAGGAGGAACCCAGGACCCACTGCAGCAGGAGGAACCCAGGACCCACTGCAGCAGGAGAACCCAGGACCCACTGCACCAGGAGGAACCCAGGACCCACTGCAGCAGGAGAAACCCAGGACCCACTGCACCAGGAGGAACCCAGGACCCACTGCACCAGGAGGAACCCAGGACCCACTGCACCAGGAGGAACCCAGGACCCACTGCACCAGCGTAGGGTCTGACAATGGGTCCAAGGATTTCATCCCCATACCTAATAGCAGTCAGCGTGCCATTGTCTAGCCTGTAGAGGTCTGTGTGTCCCTCCATGGAGATGCCTCCCCAGACCATCACTGACCCACCACCAAAACGGTCATGCTGAACCATGTTACAGGCAGCAGAGCGTTCTCCACGGCTTCTCCAGACCCTTTCACGTCTGTCACATGTGCTCAGGGGGAACCTGCTCTCATCTGTGAAAAGCACAGGGGGCCAGTGGTAGACCTGCCAATTCTGGAGTTCAATGGCCAATGCCAATCCAGCTCTATGGTCCTGGGCAGTGAGCACAGGGGCCACTAGAGGACGTCGGGCCCTCAGGCCACCCTCATGAAGTCTGTTTCTGATTGTTTGGTCAGAGACATTCACACCAGTGGTCTGCTGGAGGTCATTTTGTAGGGCTCTGGCAGGGCTCACCCTAGAGTTAGACAGCATGTATTAATGTAGAGCTGAGCGTTTATACAGCTATATACATATAGTGGAAGTAGAACAGCGGGCTGTACACAGAAGTGCGGTGAGATGATACAACCTATGCGGTGAACGTTTCTTGAATTTAATTGATGCGCATTTCCTTAGTTTTATGTGTGTTATTTTACGAGGAGATTGGTAATAAAATGTTCAAACAAAGTTACGCTATGTGGTGCGTTTGTACTCTTTATTTATGTACTGGACCTATTGGATTTGTCTGATCGGTGGTGTGTGGCGAGCCTAAAAGGAGGATATTTAGATATGCTTGGTTTCCTCCATGCTCTGGGGAGTGTTCATTTTGATGGGGTGCTAGTCACTTAACCTCCCTGGCGGTATGATTATTTCCGATTTTTTGTGCTGAAAACGGTACATATTTTTTGCATGGAAATATGTTGTTTTTTCATTGTAGGCCTGTAATTCTTAGGAATAACTCACTGAAATCTGTCCGAACAAGAGTCTAGTAAACATCCCGGGTTTGATAAAACTTGAAACACGAAATCATAAATTATAATTTAATAAATAATCATAAAAAATAATACTATAATAATAACAAATTTAATTCAATAATATAATCAAACCAAAAACACTGAAATTTGAAATACAGAGGCAAATTCGCACATCGCTGAGCAAAGTCGCAGAATCGTTTTCAGTGTCTGATGAGGAATTTCCCCCACGAATCATTATCACTCAATTCTGCAAGTGGTTCTGATTTACTATCGCTGTTCTCTAGCCGGTCTAAAACCGCTTTTGACCTAAAGGGACGCTTTTTGGACGCCGTGGACTTTTCGCCGTGGGCTCAATAATAGAGGATCTGAAAATTTGCATTATTGGAATCAAGGATTGGAGTGACTTTGATTTTGGACACGGGTGACTTTTAATTTACATTTTTTTATTTTTTTATCATTATAATATTTTATTTTATTTATTTAAATAATTTTTGGGGGCTTCATTTATTATTATATATTTATATATATGTTCTCATTATATGAGAATTTGTGTCACAATTTGAGGGATATTTATTGTAGGCCTGAACGGTCTCCAAACGCTGGAAAACGGCTGATTTTACTATAATCTCGCGAGATTACAATAAAAGATCAGTTTACTAAACAGAGGTAAATTATCTCTGCTTAGTTTGTGGTTCCCCCGATTCTCCAGCTCTGGGCTGGAGAATCTGGAGGGAGAACACAGATCTCCAGTGAAGGGCTGACATCGCTCCTCACTGATCTCCTGGGTGTCATAAACTGTGAATGACCAGAGAATAGCTGCAATCCTCTGAATCGCAGCTGTTCTCTGTGTCATAAACGGAACGCCATGATGAGATGTTAACCCCCATATATAAGCCACTAATTACTAGTATAAAAGAGTAAATAAATAAAAATTCCAGTATATGTACCATTGTTTGAAGATTCTATCACTTTCAAGGAAATCAAATATTATACACTTCTTGGGATTTTTTTTTTTGGTACCAAAGACACGTAGCAGAATGTTGGGCACGTTTTAGATAGAAATTTTATGTTTTTATTTGATATGTTTTAAAGCAGAAAGTGAAAAATATTGTTTTTTTTTTTTCACAAAATGTCAGCCTTCTTTCATTTATATAATGTAAAAAAAACCAGTGATGATAAAATACCACCAAAAGAAAACTGTGTTAAAAAAGCAACAGCATATGTTGCATTTGTGTACAGTGTTGCGTGATTTAGCAGTTACAAGTTAAAGTAACGCAGTGCTGAATAGCAAAAAATTAACACTTTTTAGGTGCACACTTAACTCCTTGATTACCCTGAGATGTTAACCCTTCCCAGTCATTAGTACAGTGACAATGTATAGTATTCTCACTGATCACTGTATTAGTGTCACTGGTGATGTCAGTGGCTGTTAGTCAGTTCCCCCCCTAAGTGTCAGTTAGTGTCAGACTATCTGCCGTACTATACACAGTCCCACTATAATCCACTAATTACTAGTATAAAAAAAGGAAATAAATAAAAAATTCTTCTTGAGCCACTCCTTTGTTGCCTTGGCCGTGTGTTTTGGGTCATTGTCATGCTGGAACACCCATCCATGACCCATTTTCAATGCCCTGGCTGAGGGAAGAAGGTTCTCACCCAAGATTTGACAGTACATTGCCCCGTCCATCGTCCCTTTGATGCGATGCAGTTGTCCTGTCCCCTTAGCAGAAAAACACCCCCAAAGCAGAATGTTTCCACCACCATGTTTCACAGTTGGGATGGTGTTCTTGGGGTCATAGGCGGCATTCCTCCTCCTCCAAACATGGCGAGTTGAGTTGATGCCAAAGAGCTGGATTTTGGTCTCATCTGACCACAACACTTCCCACCAGTCCTCCTCTGCATCATTCAGATGTTCAGTGGCAGACTTCAGACGGGCCTGGACATGGGCTTTCTTGAGCAGAGTGACCTTGCGGGCCCTGTAGGATTTCAGTCCTTGTCGGCGTAGTGTGTTAACAATTGTTTTCTTGGTGACTGTGGTCCCAGCTGCCTGGAGATCATTGACAAGATCCTCACGTGTAGTTCTGGGATGATTCCTCACTGTTCTCATGATCATTGACACTCCACGAGGTGAGATCTTGCATGGTGCACCAGACCTAGGGAGACTGACACTTGTTTTGTGTTTCTTCCATTTGTGAATGATTGCACCAACTGTTGTCACCTTCTCACCAAGCTGCTTGGCCATAGTTTGGTAGCCCAGTCCAGCCTTGTGTAGGTCTACAATCTTGTCCCTGACTTCCTTGGACAGCTCTTTGGTCTTTGCCATGGTGGAGAGTTTGGAATCTGATGGTTTGATTGCTCCTGTGGACAGGTGTCTTTTATACAGGTAACACAATGAGATTAGCAGCACTCCCTTTAAGAAACTGCTTCTAATCTCAGCTTGTTACCTGTATGAAGGACACCTGGGAGCCAGAAATCCTGCTGAATGATAGGGGATCAAATCCTTCTTTCCCTCATGAACATGCAGATCAGTCATCATTTGTTAGACGCATTTCTTTTGAATTTGTTGTTGTATTCTGTCTCTCAGTGTTACACCAAACATTCGATTTTTAGACCGATCATTTCTGTGTGAGGGGCGAACATTCAACATCAGCAGGGGAGCAAATACGCATTTCCTTCACTGTAATTCTTCCTTTCACTTCTAAGATCTGACATTTTATATTACATTTAAAATTGGCCAGGTCAGGAAGGTGGGGAAATCCTCTGGAGGGCGAAGGTTTAAAATTGATGTGCATGGAAAGGCTGGCGGCCCAATACTTCCTCCTTTAGCAGAATGAGAAATAGATTGCTTCCTGCTGATCACGTGTGTTTAACCGCATAATTAGCTCATTCATTTCCGGCCAAATTGGCGCCCACCTGGAGTTAGTGCCGCTGTCACGTGGTGAGAATCAAAGACGCTGTTAAGAACGTCAACATGTTTTGCTCACTTCCATTGAACGAAAGTCAGGAAAACTTTCATAACTTGTTGGTAAACAACCGGACAAGCAAGTTCCTTCTGCTGAAATACTTTCTAAAGAGAAAGTTTGCACGCGGTCTGTGGCGGCGCGCACGACGTGACGCTGCATAACATCATAAGAGTGCGCCCAGGGAAAAGGATTCTGGGAAATGGATTCCTACAGAATAATGAAACAAATGCAACTAATGCAGGCCATAGACGGGTCGAAAAACCGTCCATTTAAAAAAAAAAACAAAAATGAAAATTGGTCGTTCAATAGGCCGACGTTACCACCAACGGTAAAAAAATTCGTCCAATCTTCGTCCCGTCTACGGCCGGCATTTAATTACTTCTGTCCCTGCAGAGAGCTCCGCTATTATATTTCACATGAAAAAGTATTGCGGTTGTAGCAATGTATCAATTTGTATCCATTTCGGATACAGATGGTTTTATTCGGATACAAATAGATACATTGTTGCAACCGCAATACTTTTTCATGTGAAATACAATAGCGGACTGGAATTCTTCTTGATCTTTTTCTTCTTCTTCTTCTTCTTTTGCTTCTTCTTGCAGGCCACGGCTCATGCGTAGATTTTTTATCGGTAAAAAGATCGGCCAATTTGCCTATCATTACCGGGAAAATCGGCTGATTTTTGTGATATGGCACTGCATTATTTTATGGTCATGCAATGCTGCACCCAAATTACATTTATGTCCTTTTTTTCCCCCATGAATAGAGCTTTCTTACGGTGGTATTTGGGCGCCTGTGTGGTTTTATTTTGTGTGCTATTAACCCCCCCTGGCGGTATTCCCGAGTGTAGCTCGGGGTAAAGTTTCGGTACCACAAGCGGTAACCCCCCCGAGCTACACTCGGGAATACACTGCAGCGCTGCTCCGGGATCCCTTTTGCACTTACCGTGTCCTGCGCTCCCGC